GACAGCAACTTGTCTGTTCCTCTTCCTCCAATTCCCCAGCACTGTTCCCATCCCCCAATTCCCCAATTAAAAAAAAATCTTTAAAAGAAGTAATCTCATATAAATCTAATCAATATTGTCTTAAACATGAAAAGTGATTTTATATTTTCAATATGGATTTTTTTTTTTAAGATTTTATTGGGGAATTGGGGAAGGAAGCAGACAAGTTGCTGTTTTTTTGTTCTTCAGTCTAGTTGTGGAGGATATCACTTCACTGGCCCATGTTGGCACCATCATTGCGCTCTTCCTGGCTGAGGCAGATCCGTCGCCGGCCATTGGACGGCCGCTCACGGCAGCTGCCAGCCGCTTATGCTTGGCTGCTGGCTGGCTACACATGATAGCTCACGGCAGCCCACTGCAGCCTAGACTCTCGGCAGCCCAGCTCCAGGTTGAGCTGTTGTTCATCATCTTAGCTGTAGAGGGCAGCGTCACTGGCCCTCATGTGGGATCTGAACGTGGGCCCTGCTGCTCAGAGCTGGCGTCCCAAGCCAACTCTTAAGCAACGCACCACCCGGCCGGCCCTTCAATATGGATTTGTAGGACTGAATTTCTGGTTACCCCAAAAGGTGTCTTGAACTCAAATGCCTATAGGAGCTGAGCAAGTAAATGAGTTGCACCATTAAATAATTTGCCTATAAAACAATATGGACTCGCTTTTGTGACATTTTCAGATTTTTCAAGAGACTCTGGAAATTTGGTTTTTAACACAAAGTTTTCTGATTTTTAAATGTTGGTAATTAAGAATTTTAATTAGTAGTCACTCTGAGCCAAAGTCTGTCTGTGGAGTCCATGGGTTGCCAGTTTCTGAATCTGTGCTTTTTATCTTCTGATAAGCTTTCTTTAGTGCTTTATTAGGAATATTTAGTAATTGCTTTAAAAGTACATTTAATTTTTAAAGACACCTCCATTCTTTATATTCTTAATGTTTCATCTAAAACAGTGGATGTCCAAGTATGGGTGATATACCAAAAACAAGTGTGTAGACTGGTCTGCACTACAATGATAGACACATGAGAAAGCGTTGATAAACCTCCCAGCCAGCACTGGGAGAAACAGGAGGAAGTGTTAGTGTGAGTGACTTCACTAAGAAACTCATCCACCCTTGATTGAGCAGCTTAAACAAGGAGCCATAATTGGCCACCCTGACTTCCTCATTTGTATATTGCGCTGACAAAGGCTGGCACTTATCTTGCAGTTGGGAACAGGGCCTAAGAAAACCTCAGTGAAGATGATATCTAACATCTAGTTCTTTCCTCATTCCCTACAGAAAGGCATCACCTCACTTTCACCAATATAAGAGCTCTGCTGTAGCTTGAAAGGCATCAATAGTCTATAAATATATAATGAATCAAAGGATGCTGGCTTTTGCTTTTTTGGGGGTGGGGCGGGAATTTTGTCCCTCTGTGGTGGAATGAAGGGGGAGAGGCACAGATTGAGTTCTTAATGTTTATATACCTTCCCCAAATTTTGAGAACCATGGTCGTTCAATAATCTTAATTAGGCAAGAGTTTTATATAGTGAATACAATTCTCAAACATTTTCAGGCATGTCTGTGTCTAAATGTTAGTACAGAGTGGTGTGTGTGATTCGTGCACGTGTGTGTTTGTGTGTTTGTGTGTGTGTAAAAATCAATGCTACATTTTTTTTTAATGCACCACCATTGGGGAGATTTCACATAAAAATCTGAATTTTCATCTTGTTTTGGAAAATTGCAAGAACCAGCAGCTACAGCTCAGCCTTCCCACAAATGCACAGTTTCCTGGAGCTGAATATTCGCTGACCCAAATAAAGGGGATGGTAGCCACAGTCTCCATCACGTTCTTTCGATTTAAGCCCCGGGCACCTTCACTCTGTATCTGAGTTTCCTCATCTGTAAATGGAGATTATAATCATACCAACCACATTGGGTTGTTACATGGATTAATTTACTTATGAATTAACATGAAAGCATTTAGAGGAGTCCTTAGTCTGTGATAAGCAATCAATGTTAGCTGTTAACGGCTATATCTTTTGTATGTGCTAAGGTTTGTTGTGCTGCTTTAGGGTTGTGACTAACAAAAGAATAAGAATAATCACCTAAAGTGATGCCAATGTGAAGGTCTAGAAAGAAAACGAAGCATAGATTTAAAGTGAAGGGGCCTCGTCCCATGTCTACTCCTGACACCTTGAGCGAGTCCCCAAACCTCTTTGGGCGTTAGTTTCCTCATTTATGAAATAAGAAGAGCAGATTAGATGCCTTCAGAGGTCCATTTCGAAATTGAGTGAGATGATAGAAGAGGTTTGGGGGAACAATTGGAAGCGGTCATACTGTAACAAAAGATGCTGAAAGGGGTTAATTTTCTACTTGAAAGAACTGAATACGCTTTCAGAATTTTTTTAAGGGAAATTAATGTTCACTATACTGTGCACAGATTTAAACCATAATGCGTTTTTCTTAGGTTACCAATTAAATATTGTTTTTCTCCCCAGTAAAGAAAATTAGAATTCTGGTTCCTGGTCAACAGCAAAAAAATAATAATAAAAATATTTATTCTATTGAGTATATAAGTAGCAAAAGTGAATGTTAAGGCCAGGAGGTATGAGAATCCATACTTGTTCGAGTACATGCTGCAAAATTTAACCCTGTGTTAGTAGGTCAGGCACAGGAGAGCTGAAAAATATGCCATTTTGAGTTGTGAATGACAAAAGGTAATATTTCATGTCTTTGTTTACAAATCTCATTTATATAATAGTGGTCCTCCCCATCTTTCAAAATAGTAAACATATTGATACTTGTCTCTCTCTATGTAAGAATATAATTGAACTTTGATGTTAATACCATATTATAACACAGAATGAGAAAATTAGTGAGCTTGAGCTTTTGGGTAAGTGTAGGGTATATCAGTTGGTTTTTGGAAATATAGTATTTTTTTTAGATCAGTGAATAGTGAGTTTGAAAGTTGGAAAGAACTTTAGAAAGGATTAATTCTAAATTGTACATCTCTGGTGACATCCTAATAGTCTATCAAAGTGTTTAGAAAGTACAGTTTATGACATATTTGTATGCAGTTAAGGTTTGTGTTCTGAGAATTGAGTACCTAGACATAATTTGGAGCTATAGTTTATAATGTGGTTGAAACAATTTATAACAGATGAGACCTACGGAAGGTAGATTTCAGTGAAGTTCAACCTTTATAGCCTTAAGATAGTAAAAGGTACTAATGGGGATTTAAAAAATGTGGATTAGTAATTTTCTGTGTTTATTTAACAAGTGGTCAAAATGACTATCAATATGCATGGGATAGTATTACACTGTGTTGGAGTAAGTGGTCTTCAGAGATTTGAAACTTGGTCTCAGTAGTCTCAGTATAGGGTATTAAAAACAAATGTGATGTAGCTAGTCTTGCAAGGGGAGCATTTTAACCTTAATTTCTGTTTTGATGTATTTCAGAGACCATCATGCAGACATCGGAGACTGGGTCGGACACAGGTTCGACAGTGACTTTACAGACATCTGTGGCTAGTCAAGCAGCAGTGCCTACACAGGTGGTACAGCAAGTACCAGTACAGCAACAGGTAAGGAGCCGCTGTTCTTAGAGAAGATGCTGTGCCTTTCTTCCACGTGGCTGTGTCCAAAGATGACTTGGATTATACTGTCTGGTACAGTGGGTGCTCAGATCAGCCTAGTTCAGTTCTTAAATTAATTCCACAAGTGTTTCTAGAGCATTTCCTAGATGTGGTAGGTTCTTTCTGTGCTAGGCTGTAGGAATACAAAGATAAATTCTCAAACTAATTCGCTACTCTGAGAGAGCTCCTTAACTCTCAGAGAGAACATTTGCTTTTGAGTTGACCATCCTAAGTAGGTTTTCTCCTTCTCTCTCCCCTCCCTATGCTTTGTTACAACTTCCTATTCCTTTCATATTGAAATGTCAGCAATTATATTTTTATATAATTGGATCACAGTAGTACTTAATAAAGCACAGGACGAATGTACTTTACAAGCAGAGATTTTGCTTTCATGGTGTTTTAGAAAGTGTCTGGGCATTATGGTGACTGATAAATACTGTTTAATGAAAATGAAATTATTTTATTTTATTTTATTTTTAATTTTTTTAATTTTTAATTTTTTTTAGCTGAGGAACCCTGCCACCTGTTGGCAGCTCAGCTCGGGCCAGGACTCGAACTGCTCTTGCTCAGAGCTCGCACTCTTGAGCGAGCTCTTAACCAACTGAGCCACTTGGCTGGCCCCCAAAAATGAAATTATTTTAAAGGTCTGGGGATCTGATTCATCAATTTTTTAAAAAATTGAGAATGAATTGCTCATCACATATTTACTACAGGGTTTATTCATACTCGACACTTGACTTGTTTGGGAAAGATACTGACAAAATAATGCTGTTTATGCCAGCTAATAATTCCACGTGTGGATTGTGAACACATTGGCCTGTCATTTCTTCTAGAGTAGTGAGAAAATCAGTGAGAAAGAAGATCATGTAAAGTGTTCCCTTGAGACTAGAGATTTGCTTGTAATTTCTTAGTATCAAAGAGAATCTTTAGCAAATGTTGCTCTTACAATTATGAGTAAGTAGGGAGAGGGGATATCTTTTCCTGAATGGTAGAGGGACTTAAGGTTATATTCTTTTCAGGAGATAGAAGTGGGCTGGGCAGGGAGAGTGCTAGAATCACAAAGGGTCTTTGATTCTCATGGTAAACAAAGACAAATGAAGCCATTTAAGAAAAAATCTTAGCACACCCCTCTTCCTGGTCTCTAACACACACACACACACACACATACACATCCTTTCCATCCCTTAATGTTTCTGATCCACTAGGTTGAACTATATGCAGGTTTTGAGCTACAAAAACAACAATTTCATATGTTTGAACCTCATAATTACATTTTAAATTTGGTAAATCATTACTCAGTGCTTATATTCCCATGATATATGTATAAATGCTATTCACATCTAGCTATGTAGTGAGCTGGGATTGTCTTCCTTTCCTATAAAACTCACTTCCCCTGGATTTAATGACCGTGTTTTCTTAAAGAAGTCTGTCAGAGCATCCTGACCTGCTGCAGTCTGGATTGAAGGCGCTTTGCTCTGCTCCCATCCTAGGATCCCCCTTTGCCATCATCCTGAAGGTTTCCTTTTTATGGCTTTCCTTTTTCCTGAGTCAATGTGTTAAACTTGCTGGATTTGCCTTGAGTACATCTTCCAGTAACTTCTTAAGACATGATAAGTGTTTGAGATCTTGTCTGAGAGGGAAAGTATTTATCTTTGCAGTTGGATGATACAGAGTTTTCAGTTGGAAATAAATTTTCTTTAGAAATTTGTCTCCTGGTTTACAGGATTTCTATGGAAAAGTCAACACCATTCTGATTTCTGATCCTGTGTATGTGTCCGATGTGATTTTTTTTTCTCTCTGAAAGTTTATAGAATGTTTGAAACCCCAGTTTCTTGAAATTCTTACTGTGTCTTGTTGTGGAATTATTTTCATACATTGTGCTGGAACCTTGGTGTGGTCCTTTTCAATCTGGACATTCATGTTTTTCAGTTCTGGGAAATTTTCTTCCATTTTTTTCATTTATTGTTACCTCCTCTCTTCTTTCTCTTTTTTTTTTACTTTTTGGACTTTTTGTTCTACTTTCAATATCATCTTCCAGTCTATCTGTTGCTTTTCTTTTCTATCATAGTTGTACTTTTCAAGAGCTTTTAAAATTTTTCCAAGATGCTCCTTTTTATAACATTATATTTTCTTTCCTAATTATAATATCTTTTTATCTCTCTCTGAATATATTAATTTTTTTAAGTTGTTGAAAATTTTCTGTTTTTATACAGTCAGTTTCTTTCAAGCTACTTTCTTTTTGTCTCTCATTTTAGAAGCTTTTCTCAGATATCTGGTAATCTTTGGGTGCTTATTCAAAATTGTGAGGTAAAATGCTGATATGACTGCATGAGTGGATCTTATTGACTTCATTATAAGGTTGTATTCTGGGCTTTTTGACGGGGGACCCTTTGATGTTCACTATCTGTGTTTTTCCTCTTGGGCTATTCATACTTTTAAAGAAGACTTCTCCAGCTTTCTCATTAGTAGGTGAATGTTGGCTCCTCCCGGCAGCTGAATAGGGGAAGAGAGTTGGGTATTTCTTGCATTAATTCACTCAATTCTTCTCTTGTTCACATGGTGTCACCTCTGTTTGGGCTTCCTCAGTGCAGACATTAAATAAAAGCTTCCAAACTTTCACCAAAGTTATGGAGAGCCAGTGACCTCCCTGCATAGAGTTGGTAAAGGGGATCTGCTTGGCTCTTAAATAGAATCACTTTTTATAATAGATACATGTATTAAAAACCAAAAATTAAAGTACCGGAAGTGGAAAATCAGTATCACCAGCCACAAACAGATTATACACACACACACACACACACACACACACACACACACACACACACACACTTTGTTCATGTCCTTATAAAAATATTCTCATGTATACGTGGTCCACATTTTGGAAAACAGTGTATTGTGCCATATGGGTCATTCCCAAAAGGCATAAGTTTTAGTGCCTCACGTTATCTCTTTCCTGTTGGATATTCAAGGAAAGTGATACTTTATGTCCCCTTTATACCAAGCAAAGAAGGTGACAACTCTCATTTTCTTCTTTTCAACAAAATGTTTTATTTCACATAGTGGTTTAATGTGATATTTTTCGGGAGATGCCTGGTATGTCATCCTTCCAAGCTTATTCAGAAGAACTTTTTTCTCCTCTGTCATTTTTTTTCATTAGAACAGTGTTATGTTTAAAGCTCCCTGGTGTATTCTAATGGTGTCCCTGAGGATGTAAATTGCCTATAACTGATAAGATTAGTGCTGTAGTAATTGCTTATTGCTTTAACATGTCTATAATCTTTGTATTGTTAATGTGCTGATGTCATCTTGAGTTTTCAAACTGTAGTAGGATACCTTTAAAAGCTTCTAGCTTTTGTCACTGACCTGTGATGGGTGTTGAAATCATGGCATTGATGTCGAAGGTAATTACTTCTATTGATTCAACTTTTATTGTGTCCTTGCTTTGGCCACTTAGACATAAAGAGAAAACCTATAGCTACATGTTTTTAATGATGAACTATGTAATATTATATGTATTAGAATGTTGAGAAACCAAAAAATTTTAAGATCCTAATATGTTGTTCTGTTTCTTCAAAGCCCTAAGCGTTCTAATTTCACTGTATAATAAGTACCAAATAAAAAGTTGATTCTAAAATTATTCCTATGATTTTTCATGTGTTCTATATGCTCTTAAGAACCAACTTGTCACCTTTCCTGGTTCAGGAATGGTAAATTCTGAGCAAAGATTGCAAGGTCTTGTTATATAATACTTTATCAAATTTCCTATCTTTTGCAGTTTTTCATTATTTCACAAAACACTGAGTCTTAGCTTCCAAATATAGGCATTGTTGCCCAATTTAATAAAATCTATAACAAGATTTAAGTTCAGTATCTTGATTAGAAACTAAAATTTTTATATTATCCATTCTATCATCTTTATAAGAAGACTTTCCTGCCTGATGGGTCTCTATAGACTAGAAATGAGCTGTTCTCCTTTTCCCTTCCCCTGCCTTCAGTGATTTGTTAGAGTTCTTTGTAGATTAGCCTTCAAATTGGTCATTTTATGTGTAAATTTTAGAGGTCTTCTTATCCTGCTTCCCCTAGAACTGAATTAATTAAAAGTCCAGGAGAAGGGAAAAAGGGAAATGCCTTTCTATTATCCCATTCTCTCCCATAGCTGACCAGTTTAGATTTTTTTCAAGGTAAAACTGAGACAAAAGTCAGAATTTTCATTTCTTGTTTAAGTCTTGGACTCCAGGTATTCCACAAATGCTACTGACATTGAGAATAATTTCTAAACCACCTTGAACCAGGGCTTCAAGACATTTTTTTCCCTTTTGAGTTTCTCAGTTTTAGCTGCCCACCAAATTACGGTTCCTTCTCTCTCTACTCCCTCTGCCTAACTTCCTTTTTCCTTGGAAAAGGGCACATACCTTTTCTTCCAAAGTGGGAAAGTGTGTTGTCTCTATTATTGCTTCTTCTAAACATAACATCCCAGCACAGTGGAACCTGGGGTTGAGGGTATTCATTTTTTCTTTACTTTTTTTTTTTTTTGAGTTAACAGAAAGGTAGCTTTGTTTTTCATAGAAGCTGCTGCCAACTTTGTTCAAATTCTTTTACTATCAGAGATTATGGTCTTTCTCTTTTCCTGTCCAGGGACCCAGTCTGCTAATAGTAGGTCTTTGGTATGTCACTGAGACACTGAATCCTCTTTTAATGTGATAAAAGCTCATTTCAAAATTATATTCAGATAAGAACCTTTGTTTTTCTATAAATCACCTATCTAGTCAGTGACTGTCTATAATTTGAATTATAGAAGTGAATGAAATAGCTATTTGGCTATTTCTTTTAGTATCAATCTGTCACATATGAGTATTTAGCATTTCCACTGAAGTCATGGTACACCCTAGAGAGTGAGCATATTATCCCTATGGTCAAAAGAAAGTGACATTCTTTTTTGGGGAAAGAGA